TTAAGACTGCATATGTTAACAATTATTGAAAACGTTGCTCGTGTTACCTTATTGAGCATCTTTAAAAACCAAGTATTGAATGCATTGAATATTATGATTATTCTAAATATTTTTCTAGTGCTTGAGTTAAAGAGCCATAAGGAATAAAAGAAATATGTTTTCTTTTAACTTCAATTTTTATATTTTAGTTAGGTTCAAAGAAGAGAAACAGAAAATGAAAAAAATAAGGAGAAAATGTTTGTTAAGACTCGTGTTTCAGAAATTAAGTGTTTCATACAATCTAGACTAGTTTTGAAGTAATACTTTGTCGACTTGGACAGCATTATTATTTGTAGTACACCACATTTCAAAGTTTGAATTATGATAGTGAAACTTTTTCAATAATGATCTGGGAATATATGTGGTAAAATGCAAACTGCATACAGGGCAATAAAATGATTTACTTTTTTTTCAATAGAAAATCAAGCATATGTTAGGAGGTATAGGACAAGCCATACTGGCAACGTCAAGAATTTGTGGTGAGGTAAATATAGCCTTGGCTTTTATTCAATAATTCAAGAGACAGATACGGCGCCAAACCATTTTTTAACTTTAAATAATGACCTATTTTTGAGTCCTTTTCAAATTTTGCTTATATTTGCCATCACAGTTTAGAAAAAAGAAAAGAAATGGGACAAAGTTTAATAATATAATTCAATCTAAGCATAGCATTATGTTGAAAAACTGACTTACGCTACTAGAATAAAAATTATGTATAGTTTTTGATTAAAAAAAGCCTGGTTTTAAAATGAAGAATAATTATCTAATTTTTGATCGTGATAACATTTGAACGGCTACTGCTCGCAAAAAGAAAACAGTAACCAAGAAGAAAAAGAAGATACAAAAGCTTTTGCTTTCGAAATTCTAAATCTTTAGCGTCCTATTTAATCTCAGTGCTGCGGCAGGAATACACGAATCTCACTCAAATTTTAAGTTAAAATTTTAAAAGTCGTTTAATTCAAAAGATCTCAATTTATTTTACTCATCAACAGTTTGTTGTTAGTAACATGGATTGCACGTGTGGTAACTGCATACACTGCTCTGTTAAGAAAATTTAAATGAATATCGTTGATAAATATTGATAACCTAAACTGGTATTCATGGTAGAAAAGAAAGGAAAAAATTGTTGGAAGGGAAAAAAATAAATCTGCTTAAAAAATCACCATAGAGAAAATTGAATGTTCTGTTGATTGAAAAGTTTGGAGCAGGATTAAAATGTTCCAAAAAACATGTTTTTAACATCAATCAACTATTACCAGCCAGGGAAATGTGTAAAAACAACTTTTAGCTCAATAAAGCTCTTTTGAAACTCGATTCTGACAATTATGCATTTAAATTTGCTGAGGAAACACAATCTTTTTACCATAGTGCTCAAGCTACACTTCACACAGATGTATTATATATTGATGAGAAATGTGTATCCATTTCCTTTTACACAATCTCAATCAGTTATCATCACAATCCTGCCCACTTAAATCCATTTCTGGGGTTACTTAAATTCACGATACCCAAAACCTCAGTGCTTCATTTCTTTTCGGAAGATGATCCTTGTATACCACTGTTTCCCAATGTGTACGCCGCGATCCAAGAAAAGCCGCTAAGTGTCTTCATAATTTACAATAAGCACATAGTATTTAAAAAGGATAGAGTATAATTTGTGCGGTGCAAGCTAAATTAAAGAGGAAAAAAAAGTCTATGAAGCACATATAAAAAACGCAGTAATTGGCATACTGTAGTTTCGATTCTATAAACAAAAATCTTCCTCAGTATCAGATGCAAACACCTAAATATTGCGGCAATCAAATTTAAAAAATAGCTGTTTTATAGCAATAAAAGTACTCCTTCACTTTCTGTCTCAACTCCTCTTGTTGTGTTTTGGTCTTGGTTTTGCGACATTTCATGTGTTTGATACATATTTTAAAAATGTTTATAAGCGTTGAGGCTGGTCTTTTTGATATTTTCCAAGAAGGAAAATATGGAGCTGGCAAGCTCGAGTGGCTTGAAAACTATCGAGAACTTAATATGAGTTCATTGAAGAATGCAATGAAAAAGAAGTCGCATTTTATTGTAAATTGGCCAGATAAGAAACACTCGTTTCTGCCATTACCAGGTGTTTTACTAGAAATTGGAAGTAATTTATTTACTTCACAGTAATGCGTTGCTTAAAATACTTAGAATTAAATAAGCATACTAATGTACATATGGGGCAATCCATACAAAATTTACACCCATGATACAAAAATGATATAATTAATTTTTTTATTGTTCTTAATTTTTGCGTTTTTGTTTAAATTTTTGGAATGGTAAGACACTTTGTTCAAAAAATATAAACAAGACAGAGACGGCGCGCGCCGTACCCAGCGCCGCTCGTTACTCGTTACGAAAAGTTTGTAGCCTGACGTTTTGCAACAGCAGATCACAACATTATTCTTAATATAAAAGTGTTCCTTTTTCTAATCTTTAATCAATATAAGATGTCATCATCTAGTTTTAAAGACCGTTGCTGTAATCCTTTTAAAATAGTATCCCATACAATAATAAAAGGTTTGCGAAAACTAAGTGCTAGTTTGTTAGCCAAAAATTCATCACTGATTGAAATTGATTTATTATGTACAGCTTGTAGACTAAAAATGTCAAAGTCAAATTTGGAAAGTAAGTTTAATTATCTTTATTGTGAATATAGAAAAAATTTTTTAATCATATTAAAAGTAATTTCTTGGAATGGTCAAAGTCAAATTTGGAAAGTAAGTTTAATTATCTTTATTGTGAATATAGAAAAAATTTTTTAATCATATTAAAAGTAATTTCTTAATTTTGTATTTATTTGCGTTTTATTTGCCAACATTAAAAGATGCTGATCCTGAATCTTGTGCAAGCAATTCAAGTTCGGATGAAGATTTATATTCAGATTTTGATTCAGGTTCTTCTGACGAATCTGAAAATGATGATCCGAATTAGATTCTGGAGGTGATTATTTGTCAAATATTTGTTTGTTATACATAAAATTTATACACGACTTAGTCATTCATACGTGAATAAACTAATGGAAATACGACTCTAAATCGAGTAAACAAGAAAAAATTGACATTTTGATATCTTTGCTTATAATGTTCTGGAGTGTTTCAAAAGCTGCTAACAAAATAGGAACGAGTAGGCATTTAGTTAAAAAAGCCAGACAATTATTGCCAGCAGGCAGCGTTGAGAAAAAAAATTAGTATTTACTAAGCAGTATTACAATTGAATTTCTTATGATATGGCTGTTTTAAATAATATTAAATTTTCTTTTGAAATAGGACACACATTGCCGAAGAAGACTATTGATAAAGTTATTCAATTTTACGAAAGCGATTACGATGTTAGTTCTCTTATCCCAGGTAAAAAAGACACTGTATCAGTGAAAGACAGTGCAGGTAAACGGGATTTGCTTCAAAAACGATTATTGATGGGAAACCTAAAAGAATTGCACGTGACATTTAAATCAGAAAATCCCGACATCATCGTAGGTTTATCTAAATTTGCACCACTTCGTCCGAAGCATTGTGTTTTAGTAGGCTCTAGTGGTACGCACTGTGTGTGTGTTTGTTCTACGCATGAAAACATGAGACTAATGATTCTTGGTATGTTAACTTAAACAAAACTTTTCTTTGCTTTTAAGTTTAATACATTCGATGAATAAAATTTTTTATATGTATTAGGAAAATAATATAAAATTTCTTATAGGAACTCAGTTGAAACAACTGATGCATGAGGAAAACATCAAAATTGTGCATCATCATGATTTTTTTGTCAAGAATACTGTGTGCTCACCCAAAACCAGAATGTTATCTTCAGCAGTGTGTAAATTGTCCAGACTCGTCAACTCTTCAAAATTTGTTGCTGCAAAGTTTTGAAAGAAAAGGTGTTGAAAATGTGCACTACAGAAAGTGGGTTTCAAAACCTCGAACTTCATTAGAAAATATAGAACAACCAACAGAACAATTCGTAACTGACTCTGTACAATCTTCTGAGTCATTTTTACACCACGCTTTTCTCGCGACACAGCAAGCAAAGTTTTACCAGAATAATATTAATGACCCAGAAACTAATGAGTGCGTTATTGTCTGTGATTTTGCAGAAAACTATGCTTTTGTTATATAAAATGCTGTGCCTGGGTTCCACTAGAACAATAACCAGGCTATCGTTTTTACAGTTGTAATCGATATATATATAAAAGTGAATGTGTGTTTGTTTGTTTGTCCTCTATAGACTCCTAAACCACCCGACAGAAAGCTGTGAAACTTAGCATACAGATAGCTCAAAGCACGAGGAAGGTTTCTGTCGACATTAAAACATTCTGCGACGAACCGTTCCAACGGTATGAGTGAAAATCGAAATGATATTTTCTGATTGGTTAAAAGTTAGCCATTGTTTTAAATGTTGCTATAAACGATTCAGTTTTCAAATATATTGAAGATAACAAGAGGGATATTTTAGCTCTATTCTTTTAGAAAAGTAAATTACATATACATTAATATTTAATTATAATTCGCTCGAGTTTCTTTATATCAGGTGAGCACAAGCAAGTAAAATCAACGAGAATAGATTTCTCAATTATTGGTCGTATCACGGATTTAGTATTGTGAAAACTGTTTAATAAATATCAAGGCAAAAGCAAATTTCATTCAAAAAATATCAAAATAACATTTAATTGGTAATGTAATATGACGTAATGTAATATTTGCTAGATTGTTTGTATTATTGTTATAATTTGTATTATTCGCGTGATATCAAATTCTGTATTATTCCTACTTTACAATGACTGAAGATGGCAACTTCTATTATTTTTTATAGGATGTAATACGTTTGTAGGTTGTTTTTTAAGATATCAAAAAACTTTTGCAATTATTGATACGAGAATAAATTATTAATACGTGAAAATTATTAATATTTTTTGGAAATACGTTTTATTTAACCCCTCAATTATGCCACCAAAGCAAAGTGCCATTGGTCGATCTACAAATCATGCAAAAAGGAGAAGAGAAGAACGAGCTTCAGAAACAAGTGAGCAGAGACAAGCTAGGCAAGAAAGAGAGCGAGATCACACTGCTCTAGCTCGATCATTAGAAACGAGTGAACAGAGGCAAGCAAGGCAGCAAAGGAATCGAATTCGTGGGACACAGACGAGACGAACGATACATACTGATTTGAATTTGTGTGGTTTCAATTACAATCCCCTTTACAATTACAGTCTTCATCCAAGTGTAATTATTGGAAAAATGGACAAAAAGTGTACGTATTGTGGTGCTCAAAAATTTAAAAATGAAACACCAGGTATGTGCTGTGCAGGTGGAAAAGTAAAGTTGCCAAACTTGCGTACACCACCTGAACCATTACTAACTTTAGTATCAGGTGAAACAAGTCAATCAAAAATTTTTTTGAAAAATATACGCAAGTACAATTCATGCTTCCCAATGACATCGTTCGGAGCAACGAACATCGTTAGCGCAAATTATATGCCAACATTTAAAGTACAAGGGCAAATTTATCACCATGCTGGATCACTACTACCCTTGCCAAATGCTGATCACAAATATCTTCAGATATATTTTATGGGAAATACTGACGAACAAATCAACAGACGGTGTCAACTGAATATGAGTACTAAACGAGAGGTTGTCGCTGAATTACAAAATTTGTTTGAACAACAGAATGAATTAATTAAATTATTTAAAACCGCCATTGAACAAATGCCATCTGACGATTACAAAGTAATAATAAAAGCAGATAAAACACCTATTGGTCAACATCGAAGACAATTCAACGCACAAACGATTGACGAAGTGGCAATTGTCATAGTTGGTGAAGAATTTACTTCTCGCGACATAATTCTTTATCGTAGAAATGGTGAAGTCCATAAAATATCAGAAACGCATCGTTCATATGATGCATTACAATATCCCATTCTATTTTGGCAAGGAGAGGATGGATATCATTTTAATATTAATATGAGAAATCCTACAACTAATGTGGACATTAACAAAAAGGTCAGTGCTATGCATTATTATGCATATCGAATGATGATTCGTGAGAATGCTGATAATCATATATTGAAATGCAGACAATTATTTCATCAATACATTGTTGACATGTATGCAAAAATAGAAAGTGAAAGACTCCTCTACATACGACTAAATCAAGTCAAATTACGTTCTGAAGAGTACATCCATTTACGTGATGCAGTTGTAAATGATGGTAATCTCAGTGAATTTGGAAAAATGGTCATTTTACCATCCGCATATACAGGCAGCCCAAGACACATGCATGAATATGCACAAGATGCAATGACGTATGTGCGTGCATATGGTCTTCCAGATTTTTTCATCACATTTACATACAACCCAGCATGGGATGAAATAAAGCAGCTTTTATTAACTGGACAATCGCCATAATATTTCTGCACGTGTATTTAAACAAAAGTTATTTTAAAGGATTTTATTGTCAAACACCACGTATTTGAAGAGACGCGCTGTTGGATGTATTCCATTGAATGGCAAAAAAGAGGTTTACCACATGCGCATATTTTAATATGGATGATGGAAAAGATAACACCTAACAGAATTGATGAAATCATCTCTGCAGAAATACCAGACATTGAAATTGATAAAGATTTGCATGATATTTTCTCAAAAAATATGATTTCTGGTCCATGTGGCTCACTAAATACTAATTCACCATGCATGTCAGATGAAAAGTGCACAAAGCGGTATCCTAGAGACTTACTTGCTGAAACTATTACAGGCAATGATGGATATCCTCTCTATCGACGACGATCTACCGAAGATGGTGGAAAATCCATTAAACTAAAAGTTCTCAACAATACTATTGATGTTGATAATCGTTGGGTAGTACCATATTCTCCATTGCTACTAAAAACGTATAACGTGCACATAAATGTTGAGTACTGCAATTCAGTGAAAGCTATAAGATATATTTGCAAATATGTGAACAAAGGAAGCGATATGGCAATGTATGCACTGGAAAATACAACTGCTTCTAACCATGAAGTCACCCAATAACAACTGGGACGCTACATAAGTAGCAATGAGGCTGTATGGCGTATTTTATCATTTTCCATTCATGAGCGATATCCAACGGTTGTTCATTTAGCAGTACATCTGGAAAATGGACAGCGTGGCGGTAGCACATAGTTTGCAAAAAAAATGCCGACCCAATTACAACTCCACTAGAATTGTACAGTTGGGCTTCGAAATCTTCATCGTTACCTAATATAACCGTTAAATATGTTGATACAGAAGCTTATGAATCATCCAAACTTCTTCTGAAACCTCGATTTGAGAAAACAGAGCCAGTAGCAAACACTCACAAGCTACATTGCATTATACCCGACAAAGACAACTGGCTGGATAGACATGTGCGACAGACAGAAAACGCTTTTGAAATATGGCTCGACCAACCCTTATAAATAAGATCGTCGACACATTTGTAAACTAAATGGGGTCGAACCGGGAAAGCGAAACAACAAATTGAAGTATGTAAAATTTAATATTCTCTTTGGAAAAAACAATTGTCAGTATCATAATATGGAGATGTTAATTAGTATCTCAAAATTGAAATATTTTAAAATTTGTCGAAAAAAAATTGCTGTATTGTCAAATTAATGAAAATATTAGTTTTTCCTTCTGCTTACCGTTTATTGTGTTTATTAGTTACTAGCCGCAAAGGCGGCCAGCTGTCCGCCACGCTAAAGGTTTCCACAAATAAAGTTTTTTAAAACATAGCAGGAAATCTGAAGATTAGTGGACAATTAAAGTGTTTCTGTCCTGCAATTTTGTCTTCATATCCAGTTCTGCTGCAGATGTGTTATAGCTCTTGAGGATGTTTGAAGATGTAACTTTGCTATGGTAACCTAACCTATAATATAACTATCAGGTGGAGACTTGTTTTTTTTTCTTAAAAAAAGGCCTCAGAAATTGTAAAAGCATACAAAAGTTGCTTTAAATACATGAAAAGAACACGAAAACGAATTAATTTTTTATGGTATCTATTTCTCTATAATTTTTTTATGGTATCAATTTCTATTTCTATATCGCTACAAAAATTAACGTCGGGTAGACTATATTTGAGGGTGCCCCTTGATTCTCGCCAAGTTGTGATCGCGGTTGATCGCCAAGCTGGGCGATGTTGAAACCCAATCGTGATTCTCAACGGTTTAGATTTTAGCGTTATTAATGTTCAACGGTATACGTAATTTCAGAGGTCCATTAGTTCTTCGTTAGATACCGGCTGGTAAGGTTACTTTTACTTCTGGTCAATAAGATCGAAGGTATGTGGGCAGTCATAAAAAGGGACTTTATAAAAAAATGTCATCACCAGTTCGGTACCACAAACGCCATTTTCGATTCATATTTCGCCGAATTTATGTGACGATGGAGGTACACAGATTCTATTCACGATAAATTTAGACAGTATCTAACTGTTATTAGATAATTCTGTGCACCTAAATCTGAGTATATTCAAGCTTAATGAAGAAGTGAGTTGTTTTTTTTTTCCTTTTCTTTCTGCACCTACTCCATTAATTTTTGCTTCGATTCAAAATCCTTTTTATTGGATTTATTAATTTTGCTTATATTGGGTTCATTGCAAGCTTTATCCGATGTTTTGTTGAAATTTTCCAATGTTTTTTGAAATATCATTATGTTTTGGCCGTTATTTCTGTTACCACGGTGTTCCGCGCAAACAGGAATAGCGCCAAACATAAGTCACCAATTTCGCCAAGGGGCATCCTCAAGTATAATTTTCCCTTATCGTCTTCGCTTAAGAAAAAAAAAAGAGCGTGGAAAGAAGAAGAAAAACTTATTATAACAATTATGAACAGCGATAAATATATCAAAGCGTAGCGTTCTATTTACGTATCTAATATGTTGCCACATTTTTAGTACAAAAGTTAAAGTTTTATCCACTTTGATAAATGTAAACTAATGCGAACCTTACAATTAAATTATTAATTCCTTCGTATATTATTGGTTTAAGTTGTCGAAAATTAATATTTCAATTGTAAGGTTCGCATTAGCATACATTTATAAGAGTGGAGAAAAGTATATGCATTTTTTAATAGTTTCTTGAATATGGCTCTTTGAAGACGAAAAAGCATAGATTTTCTTACAAAATGACTGATAACTAAGAAACTAATCCAAATTTTTGAAAAAGAAAAAAAATACTTCTTCATTATGTCAAAACACAATTATGTGTCGAGTTTCGTGCCCGGGCGAGGCTTCTGGGGCGATATATTGTGATTACAGACACACACACACACACAGCCGCTTTTATTATTATGTATAGATTGTCTTTGTGGATATTTCCGTATTGTCACGCCAACTACAATCGCCAAGGTGCCAAACAAATTTTAAACTTGCAATTTTTTTTACAATTCAATTCATTCAAATCAATTATATTACATTTAATTGTATTATTATTTTTTTTCTTTAGTTTGAAATTGAAATGAGTGTCAATGTTGACTTTATGTTGAGCTAAAACTTTATTCCCATGCAAATTGACTAATGAACTGCTAATTCTAGTTTTTTCAGTAGAAGAACTGGCATCATCGTCTTTAACAGGCAAGGCCTCTAATGTACATTCAAGTCAGAATGTTAAGGCGAAACCAGCACTAAACACTTTGAAAGTCAAAGCAGTCATCGGTAATATATTAATAATTTAATTGTTTTTAGATATAGAACTAAGGTCAAGAAAACTGAGGTGGGCACAGTAGGCCTTGGCCCTCTAGGACTGTCGCGCCGCTGAGTTTAGTTTAGTTTTTAGATATAGAACTTTTATAATTTCATTTTTATTTATAAATCATTTGCCTACATTTAAAATTATTACAAGCCGACCAGTCTGTGTAGGGGGCAGGGAACTGTCCTTGCATCAGAAAGGTTCTGGGTTCGAATCCCGGGCAAGGCATGGATGTTTCTTTCCCTCTATCTGTGTTCTATGTCCTTTCTCCTTTGTGTGTGAATGTGACCCGCCCTATAAACGGGTTGTGGTAGTGTGACGTGGGCGACGCTGTTCCACCGCCGTGGCTTCGCCACAGGTGCCCACTGGGTAACGAAAAGAGAATTAGCAGTTCTGGCACTTTCTGTGGCCAATGGACAATAGCTCCAAGTGCCCGCCATTAAAAAAAAATTATTACAATCATTTTCCATCTGTTAATTTCGAAAATAATTTTTAGTTAAAGCCACCTTTTAACATTGAGTCTGGGCTGGTGCTTCACAATTAGACAACGTAGAAATAAAGATTCAATTGAAACTTGGTATTACAATTCTTTGGTATTCTTACATTAAGAGTAACAAAAATTTAAAACTTTTCTCTGATTTAAGTGATGATCTACTATCATATTTTAGGCCTGAGTTTCAGACTTCTGTATCTAATCTCAGGACCTTAGGCCGCCGGTTTATTTTCTCTGGCTTTGAGTTTTTTTTCTTTCTTTTTTTAGGAATCTTATTCTAATTCATACTAAAAATAATAATTTGAGTAAAATTTCATTTATTTCTTTATTGAGCAACATAGTTTTTTGTTTATAATTTTTCTGTGGTTTGCAAGAGTTTTAGAAAATCTCGTTTCTTGATAATCACGAAACACAGCTTCGTGCTTTACAGTGCAAAGACATTTCAGAACAAAAGTTTTTTCATTCTTTAAACTAACTTATAAGATCCATGTAAAATGATATAAAGTTACTGGGAAAGTAATGCCCAAATTGTATTGGCCAAGTTAAAAGCTGCTGGCATGAATCATTCCTTTCTTCTCTGAGATAATATTCAGCCATATAATAAAAATTCACGCCTAGTTATTTTACTTCAAGACCAACTTAAGCAAAAAATTTTACTGGGAAGGCAATAAACCAGAAAGAGCTTCAGTGAAATTTTTATATAAAATTATCTATTTATGAAAGAAATATCAACCTGTTTTTCTTTTTTCTAAATAGAATATAATTTTCAGGGTTGACAAAGCTAATTATTTCGATTTACTTTGAAAAATGCTTGAATTGTTATGGGTAAAATTGTTATCATTCGCAATTTTAAAGCAAAATAGAATAGTGTGAACAAGAGTTTCCTTTAATATAAGCACTGTAATAAAAATAATTGCAAATCAAAAACTATTTTGTTCCTTGCTATCAAGCCAAAATAAAAAAATTTCTTTATATTTCCCTTTGCATCTGCCTAGAATGTGTCTAAATACCATCAATCTTTGCAGTGAAAATTTTTCATTCGGCCTTTCCGCGATTGAGAAAAAGATTCAAGCAGAAAGTTGAATAATTTCCTTACTTGTGTTCTAGTTTTTCAATTAAATTGTTTCAAGAATACTTATAAAATAAGTTTATATTTTTAAGTAGTAATTTTTTATTTTGTCTATTTATTCAGACTATGTCCAAAGC